CTTGAGAGTAGGTGTGATACAAAGAGTGTGTGCTCTGGAAGATATAAATTTGTGGGGGTCTGGCAAGTCATTCTGGAGGAAATGTTAAGGTTCTTTAGATTTAGACTTTTTTCCCCTTGAATGATTTGCAGGCATTGTATACTCAATGTATTTGTAAATTATCTATTGTAACAGTCAGGATAGGCTGTGCTGTCCTGTATAACAAAAGTAATCCTAGAATAATAGTGGTAATTTCTCCATGGTGTTACAAGTCCTTTGCGAATGGCATGGGGGCTTTACTCATTGAAGTCATTCTGGGACTAAAGTGATGGGCCAGCCATCATCTTGCACCTATGCAAGTTATTGTGCCTGAGAAAAAGGAAAAGAGCCCTGGAGATTCTTTTTTTTTTTTTTTTAAGTGTATGATACAGTATTATTAACCACAATCACCAGGTTGTACACTAGATGCCCAGAACGTATTCATCTTATAACTGGAAGTTTATACCCTTTGACCAATGTCAAAAAAGTCCAGAGACAGGGAATTAGGTCAAAGAATGTAACCCATGCATGTGTCTTAGTAGAATGCGAGAGAATTGAAAATTTTTGATCAATAGCACTAATGATTACCACTTCTTTCTCAGTGTAGGGGTGGGGGGAGGGTCCCTTCAGATACACTGTAATTCAAACCAGAAACCTGGAAGGGACCTCTGACTTGTTCCCTGTCACTCACAATTTTGCCTCTGAAAACTCTCTTCCAAATGTTACCTTTGTCTTGGTTGCTTTTGCCTTGGGTCAGGCCATACTCTTTTCTCAGTGGGACTGTTGCAGTTGCCTTCTTATTATCCTCCAGACTTGACCCCATTCCAGCATCATCCTGCTGCCGCAGTAATCATTCCATTGTGCCACCCCATCTAAGATCCTTCAAAATTCTTCACTTAAGAACAATTCCAGGACTTTAACAGGAACTACTCTTCACAATGTGGCTGCTTCTCCTTCTCCCGCTTTTCCTCCTGCCAGTCCCCTGTGTGCTGGCTGTATTTAATGACCTGCTGCTGGGCTTTGCATATCTTCCCCTTTGTTCCATCTAGAAAGTTCTCCATTCCCTATTACCACACCCCTTCTTCCTCACAAATGCTTTGCTCAAACCTACACAGTCGTTAAATATCTTTTAAGATTTCTATTGAGGATGATTCTCCCCTAAGAAACCTTTTCTGACTTTCTCAAATGGCATGACAGCTACTTCTCTACTTTCTGTCACCAGATTGCCTTATGCATATCATTCTCAAAGCCCTTGTATCATGGTTTGTATTTTTAGACTACATGCCTGTTTCCCTCAACTAATCTATAAACATCTTGATGATAAGAAGCTCTTACTAAATGTTGTGTTTTCAGCAGAGAGTAAATACAAAGTTCCTGGCACATAGAAAATGCCAAGTAAATGTGTTACCACATGGCTTGAGATGTAAAGATAAGGAATTACTTTTAAACTCATATCATAGGAAGATAATTTTTTCTCCATGCATTGGATGGTTGATTTTTTCCAACTTGTACAACTTGTTCAAAGTGTGAAGTGTGTGTGGGTGCCTGTGTATATGTGTGTATCATGTCCCAGCTCAATTCTTGGGTAAGTTAAATAACTCTTGAAGGCTTTATTTTCCTTCTCCCTGAAACTCTGTAAAGAGCTAGTGATGGCATCTGTTTCAAAAGATTGTTGGAAAGCCAGCTCTGTAGATGCCTATAGTAAATATCCTTAACAAGATGCCTATGTTAGTTTCCTATGACTGCTGAAACAAATCAAGTTAACTTAGTAACTTAAAATGACATAAATATATTAACTTCGAGTTATGGAGGACAGAAGTCCAAATAGCACTGGGCTAAAAGTAAGATATTGGCAGGACTGTATTCCTTCTGGAGGCTCTAGGGTACAGTCTGTTTCCTATCTTTCCCAGCTCCTGGAGGCTTCCTGCATTCCTTGGCTTGTGGTCTCCTTCCATGTGCAAAATGAGCAATGGTCCATTGAGTCTGTATGCGGCGTGGCTCTGATGCATACCCACTCACCTCCCTCTTCTGCTTAGGAAAACCCCATGACCATTTAAGCCATACAACCTTGATCAGTGTGGCCTTGCATTAACTTGGCATGAAAGAGCTCCCCACTTCATTCACTCCAAAAGTAGGTTAAGTGATTCACTTTTGAACATTTCCTTAGCCATTTTTGTTATGTGGGTTGCATTTATTGTAAGTGAAAACCGGTATTTATTTAAGAGTACCTGAGTAATCCTAGGAAGGCAGTTTTACTCTCATGACTATCATTATGTAGTAATGACTAAAAGTTATTGAGAACTTACTATGTGCCAGGACCTGTTCCAAATGTGTGTGTGTGTGTGTACGTGTGTATATACAGAGAGAGACTAATTTGATCCTAATGACCAGTCCCATGAGGGCAGGGCCTTTTATTTTCCTTATTTTATGGTATTTGAGAGTTTTCCCAAAGTTTCAGGGCTGGTAAGTACCAGAGATGGGATTGAAATCCAGGGTGGTCAGGCTGTAGGACCTTCACTTTGAACCACAGCACTATAAAAATAGGAATGTAGGAAGGATGGGGCAAAATGGGAAGAATGAACCCTCCACTTTGGGCTAATAACCCTCAGCACTTTTATAGCTCATCATGGTATAGCCTGAGGGCATTCAGTCTTACTGAGTTCTAATTTTTGTTCTTTAAAAAAAAAAAGCATCATAGATGACCAACTGTGAGTTGAGAGTTGGTGGGTTTCCAGAGATGCTTGAAAATGAATTGTCTAATGAGTTCAGGCTTTTTAGGTAGGTCCTTAGGTGTGTTTCCTCCCACTCTCTGTCAGTTGGTTGGTCTGTCTGTCTCTCTAAAATTGTACTCGAGGAACAGTAACTCCAACCACTACCCTATATCATGGATTACTTTTGCCTTTTTATCTATTCTGCCAACTTGCTTTGATATGTGAGTTTAAGAGCAGGGAAGCTGAATATTTTTTTTTTCCAAACCATTTTTTTTTGAAGATTTTATTTATTTATTTGACAGAGACACAGCAAGAAAGAGAGCACAAGCAGGGGGAGTGGGAGAGGGAGAAGCAGGCTTCCCACTGAGCAAGGAGCCCAATGCAGGACTCGATCCCAGGACCCTAGAATCATGACCTGAGCCGAAGGCAGCCACTTAATGACTGAGCCACCCAGGTGCCCCGGGAAGCTGAATTTTTGCAGAAAGTTGTTATCCAAGTCAGTGTTTCCTAAGAAAGTCCATGTTTTCAAGAACCTCTTAAGTAGAGAGATGCATTTAACACTTTCGCCACTGTGGTTAGATGAAAAAGGTAAAGGAAAGATTATTAATATGGCTGATCACTATAAACAAAATGTGAAGAACAACTGTTGACATATTTCATAGGGGAAGGCACTCCTTTTTAAGTGAGTTATTCAGGGTTGTAACTGTGAGGAGTTGGCATTTGCCAAAAGTCCATTGACAGAGCTGGATGTTGATTCAGAGGGTTAGCATCATAAGTCAATCACCTTTATGGGCTTTCAAAGTCCATGATAGCCACATTAGTGGAATTCACAAGTTACTGCGAAAAGGCTATTTATGTCAAAATAAGTAACATTGAGAGCAACTACATAAATGGATGAAAATAAAATCATATCTAATTGATTCATACATTCTTCTGTATGAAAGAAATACATATTACACATATTATACAGTCCTCAAGTCTATCACATTTAAGATGACTTTAATATTGACTCAGAATCACACGGACGTTTTGGAAAGTGTGTTACCTGCACCACATGGTCACGATTGAGCTTTTGTGCTGCACTGTTTTATTTAGAATCTTTCGGCAGATGAAACTGTTGACCTTAGTTAGCTAGAAAACAGCTGCTTTTCTATTTTGATTTGTAGTTAATGTTTTCCAAGTGTCAAGCACATGTAGAGAAATTTTTTCCATAGACTGATATTAAACATTTTATTTATATTTCTCTTATTTTTAATGGTCCGTGGACTGTTTGGCAAAGTAAGAGCCAATAAGAGCATTCATTGTAAATTCCTTTAGGAGAAAAAAAAAAAAAAAAACCTCCCTCGGGTATTTCTATAATGAATCAATATCACATTTGTTTATTTTAGTGACATACTCAATTATAGTGCTATATTCTGGAAACAGTCTGTTGTCTATTTTTACTAAGTTAAAAATACATCATCTCTTTCAAAGTTTTCAGGAGTTTCTGCCAAAGCCAAAGCTAGGTGATTTCCAGTATCTTAGGTTTGACTATTTTGTCAATGAATGAATACCTCAAGAAAGTGACAAGTTGATAATCTTAGTTTAACGACTACATCATATTGATTATATTATATTTATATTTTCTGGTCAAAGATGAAGATAATTTAGTTTCTTCTCTCAGTTTTTCTAGAATTAGAGTTTTACTTTGGGGGGTTTTTATGATATAGTGTTGGTAAACATATGGGCCCTATTATTTTTATTTATCTGTTATGCATAGGTCACTGAAATTTGGAAAATGTGGAGGGATGTAAGGCTAAAGCTAAGCAAGTACAATTGTCCTTTGGTGGCAGATAGCAGAGATATGAAAAGCTTGTGCCTTGGGTACTAAAGATCATAAAATGATTTTTGAAATTGAGAACCTGAGAAAAGAGGATGGAAACACTGTAAGATTTGCCACATCTCATTTATTTGTTGTGAGTCTCAGGTGAGGTGGAATTGCCCTAAATTCTTTGGGCATGGGGACACCGAGATGGAGACTCAGTTTCTCTACCTGAAGCTTTTGAGAAAGCAGTAGTCTCTCACAGAGTTAGGGTACTCATGGTAGAAGAGAAACCCTCTTGGTTGTCCCAGTGAAGTGAGTAGTTTTGCTAGCTATCATCTTTCTCTTTGTGTTTGCCTCGGTGGAATGAAACTTGGGAAAGTAGCTCTAGAGTTTTCTTAATGGATTTTTTTTTAAATGAATACTTCTAGTAATGTATCAAAATATCTTTTTTTTTTTTTGTCTTCCAGGAACATTAAAAAAAGCCTATTTTAAATCAAATGGGAGTGAACCTTTGGTCACTGATGGTGAAGTTCAAGTGTCTGATATTATTGCTACAAATACAATTTGCAGCAAGAGCACTGTGACATCTGCTACGCATCCCGATCAACACATTCCAGCCTGGACCACAGATGCTTCTCTCCCAGGGGACCAAAATCACAAGAACACAAGTGAGTCTGAGGGTGCTGAATACTCGTGCCCTTTAATGTCTGCAGAACCCACAGATGGACTTTTAAGTGTGGCAACCAGTGCTCTTAACTCAACAATCACTTGCAGGTCACACAGGCAAAACTCCATTCTCTTATCTGGCAAACGTAACTATTGACTATTAACTATGTGCTATGTCTAAACATGAAGTGCCATCAGCTCAGCTGTCCAGAGAGGGAGAAGGGTAAGAAATGAAAATGTATCAATGCCATTCAACATTTCTGAGACGTACTGCTTGCTCCCATCCAATGGTATGGATTTTATGGTGGTTCACCTCAGAAAATTTGTGTTTCTGTCTTGAAGTTTTTTAAAATTTTATTTATTTATTTGACAGACAGAGATCACAAGTAGGCAGAGAAGCAGGCAGAGAGAGGGGGAATCAGGCTCCCCACCGAGCAGAGAGCCTGATGCGGGGCTCGATCCCAGGACCCTAGGATCATGACCTGAGCCGAAGGCAGAGGCTTTGACCCACTGAGCCACCCAGGCGCCCCTGTCTTGAAGTTTTAAGTTACTTATTTTGAAATGGTTAAATGAAGAAGAAAGTGAAGTTATTTATTTTGTTGTTGGTGCCTTGGGAAAAGGATCTGAATTCTATGATAGAATGTCAATGATTTAATGGGAACTATCCCCCCAGTTGGCATTTGAGGTGCTCATGTGTTCTTTTTACCTTTTTTCCCTCTTCTCCTTCTTTTTTTTTTTTTAAAGATTTTATTTATTTATTTGACAGAGAGAGATCACAAGTAGGCAGAGAGGCAGGCAGAGAGAAAGAGGGAAGCAGGCTCCTCACAGAGCAGAGAGCCCGATGCGGGGCTCGATCCCAGGACCCCAAGATCACGACCTGAGCCGAAGGCAGAGGCCTTAACCCACTGAGCCACCCAGGCGCCCCAACCCTCTTCTCCTTCTTTTATTGGCTGTGCAATTTACTTTATGTGTTGGTGACTGACAATCACATCTTGAGGAAAATGGCGTCTACTAGAGGACAAATGGATCTGTCAGCTATTCCAGAACAAGAGTTGGAAGAGAGAGAGAGAGGACAGAGTGTGGAAATGGGACCAGTTAGACGGTGGCAGGCAATATGCTCTGGAATGTGGTTCTATTTCTCAGTATCCCTCAGATTTTTAGTAAAGGCATTAAGCTTCCAAGAATACTGGTGGGGGAAAAGTTGTGGGTAAAGTGTCCCAAGAGCTTTGGCTCTGATCCAGTTAGTGCCGGCAAAACATAATCAGAGCACAGTCACTGTAAGAACTGCAGTTGTTTTAATTCTTTTTTTTTTTTTTCTACAGATTTTATTTATTTGAAGTGGCGCTTGGGTGGCTTAGTGGGTTAAAGCCTCTGCCTTCAGCTGAGGTCATGATCCCAGGGTCCTGAGATCGAGCCCCACATTGGGCTCTCTGCTCAGCGGGGAGCCTGCTTCCCCCTCTCTCTCTGCCTGCCTCTCTGCTTACTTGTGATCTCTGTCTGTCAAATAAATAAATAAAATCTTTTTTAAAAAGATTTTATTTATTTGAGAGAGAGAGAGAGAGAGAGAGAGCACAAACAGGGGGAGGGGCAGGGGGACAAGCAGACTCTGTGCTGAGTGCAGAGCCCAACATGGGGCTCATTCCTAGGACCCTGAGATCATGACCAGAGCCAAAGTTAGATGTAACTGACTGAGCCACCCAGGTATCTCTTAATTCTTATTTTCTACTTCCTAAAACAAGATTATATGGTTGAAAATTGTATGAAGCCCATCCATTCATGGTCATTTTCTTGTTTGTTCCTGCCTCTTTCATGAAAACCCACAAAAGGCAATCACAGTCTTGGACAGAGTATTAATTTTCTTTCTGAGCCAGGAGGGAAGGATTAAGCTATCTTTTAGCTAGCAAAGCAGAGGTTTGTCAGGGTCTGAAGAAAAGCAGAATTATCCTATTGCTCTAGCTTCAAAGAAACTGTTTGGATTTCATTGTTTCACATAGCACTTATGTATTAACTATTTCTTATGCTTGGTGTTCACCAGTGATTAATACAGATCCGTGTTTATTAACCTGACAGTAATAACTGTAAACCCAAATTATGTGCAGCAAAATTTGTTTTCCTGGTGAGTTTGATTTTGAAGTTTTAAAGATTTTATTCATGTTTTAAGCACTTCATTACTCTTCAGGACAGGGATTTTCATCACAAGTGCAGAAGTCATTTAAGCAAACACTCAGCCCCATTAATGTGGTTGCAATTACGGCAATTGTTATTTTCTTTTGCTAAGTGGATTTGTCTCTATTTTGAAAGTTTTGGGTCATTTGTTAAGATTCGAGTAGAGGAGGCAGACACATACTCTGAAGAGTAAATAGACATATGGTATTTGTTACTCAGTTTGGAAGCTTAATGGAGGTCTGTTTGACTTGTTTTCTCTTCCTATGGCTGGGACATTGCTTGAGAGTACGAAGGAAATTTGACGTGTAAAGGAAATCTAGGTGAAATTAGAATGGCTAAATGGAGAAAGGTAAAAAGCTTTGGATATGTGTCATTCCATGTCATTAATGTACTTGACAGTTAGCATGGAGCTTTACTGTCTGACCACCCAGACCCTCGATGGACCATCTGCATTAACTAAAAATATTGATGACAAGGGATTTGATAGTTTTTCATACATTTCAGTAGTATTGCTAACCTGTGATTATAGAGCTTTCGTTGTTTTGAGGGCATATTTAAATACTTTCTCTTGGGGCTCCTGGGTGGCTCAGTGGGTTAAAGCCTCTGCCTTCAGCTCAGGTCATGATCCCCGGGTCCTGGGATTGAGCCCCACATCGGGCTCTTTGCTCACCAGAAAGCCTGCTTCCCCATCTCTCTCTCTGCCTGCCTCTCTGCCTACTTGTGATCTCTGTATGTCAAATAAATAAATAAAAATCTTAAAAAAATAAATACTTTCTCTGTGGTCTTTACATATAATTAACTGATGAGGTATGCAGGACAGACAATACCATTTCAAGTAATGGAATTGAGGCTTAAAGACATTAAGTTGACATATACAATATCACTCGTCTAGCAAGGAGTAGGCATGAAATTGGGATTCCGATCCTGGGACTCCTAGACCAGTGCTCTTTCAAGCATTCCATACCTGCTTATGTAATTTCATTGCATTATTTGCAGTTGCAGAGCATATTTAAGCTCGGGGAGAGCAGTTTGTTTTGTCGACTGCACTATAAAATATTTTTTGAATGAAGAAGAGAAGGGAGTTGGGGGAAATTGGAGGGGGAGATGAACCATGAGAGACTGTGGGCTCTGAAAAACAATCTGAGGGTTTTGGCGGGGCGGGGGGTGGGAGGTTGGGGGAACCAGGTGGTGAGTATTACAGAGAGCACATATTGCATGGAGCATGGGGTATGGTGCATAAACAACGAATTCTGGAACACTGAAAAGAAATTTAAAAAATAAATAAAAATTGAAAAATTATTTATTGAATGAATAAAGAAATGAAATATAGTCATTTCAAAATTTTGATATCTGATTTATCACTTTTCATTAACAATATCTAATCATACTTCTGCACCTGATATGTATTTAACCAGTTTTACCTAAAGCATCATTTAATGACTTGTGTCAGTACTAACACCTAGCAGAGGATTCGCTTTTATACTTTTAAAAAAATGATTGGGCACCTGGGTGGCTCAGTGGGTTAAAGCCTCTGCCTTCGCTCAGGTCATGATCCTAGGGTCCTGGGATCGAGCCCTGCATTGGGCTCTCTGCTTGGCAGGGAGCCTGCTTCCTCCTCTCTCTCTGCCTGCTTCTCTGCCTACTTCTGATCTCTCTCTTAAAAAAAAAAAAAAAAAGATTGTCTAATTGACATGTCATTTTAGATTCCTGGCATATGTGAAGGCTATTTAAGTCCACTTAGGTCCAAAAATACAGTAGCCAGACATTCTGTTCTATCCAAATATCCTGGGTAGGAAAGCAAGGAGAGAATTCTGGCCAAAGGTACAAGGAAGTAGACTTTCCTTAAGACCTTTCCGCCTGAGGATCCTCAATATCAAGCCGAAGTATACTATAGTTTGTAAACTCTTAATCAGAATACCCCCCTGTTACACTGTGTGGCAGAGCTTTGTAAATGTAAAACAGGTTTTATGTGCATCTGTTACTTCTGGAGTTTCATTAGTTGCATTTGGAAACCCAGTTGTAATAATGGAAAGGGGAAGGTTCATTCTTAGCTTGCATGTTATATTTCAGCAAGGGATTTTTCTAGGTTGCATTTTGTAATTTCACTTTTTTGTTTTCACCTTTCTCCTTATAAATATTTAAACATAAATTCAGTATTAAGGAAAGGGAAAAAACTCTTTGACCAACCACGAGCTTTTGGGTTAAAGATAACATGGTACACAGTGAAGTAACCTAGAAACTCTGGGAATTAAAGTGACAAAAAGGTGGGGTAAGGTGCTAAAAGCTTCAGGTGTTCTGTTTTGTTATCATGCTCTTTGGTAACCAGCTCTGTAATCCTCTGTATCAGATGAAAATGTCTCATGCCTCTCATTCACTTTAATTTGTATTTATTTATTTATTTATTTATTAAAGATTTTATTTATTATTTGACAGTGAAAGACACAGCAAGAGAGGGAACCCAAGAAGGAGGAGTAGGAGTGAGAGAAGCAGGCATCTGATCAGGGAGCCTGATGCAGGGCTTGATCCCAGGACCCTGGGATCATGACCCTAGCCCAAAGCAGACAATTAACAACTGAGCTACCCAGGCACCCCTCTCATTCACTTTTTTTTTTTTTTTGCATACTTAACATTTTCTTTTTCTTTTTTTTTTTATTATTGTGTTATGTTAGTCACCATAAAATACGTCACTAGTTTTTGAAGCAGGGTTCCAAGATTCATTGTTTATGTATAATACCCAGTGCTCCATGTAATACATGCACTCCTTAAGACCCATCAGTAGGCTCACCCATCTCCCACTCCCATCCCCTCTAAAACCCTCAGTTTGTTTCTCAGAATC